CGCAAAGCAAAGATGGATTTGGCGACTAAAAGGCTGAACACCGCTTACAAAGAAGAAAAGATAGAGAGGGAAAAAAAAAAGTGACTGTTATTACATATTTTGTTTTTTATGAATAATATTAACTATTTTTAAAATTTTTTCGATTTAATATTCCCAGAATACAAGTTATAGATCCACTACCAGATCCTGATGTGGTGAAACCAAAGAATCAAAAAACCAATCGTGTTAAACGAAAGGATGTAAGTGTGTCATATGTACCAACATCAACATCGTTTATTTCAAACGATGATACGTCAGGTGTTCCACTTAGGAAGAGAGTCGTCCATCTAATTGCCGCCACCGAAGTAGACAATGATCTATTAAACATTGATCAAATTGTAAAAAAAGTTAAAGACAGTAAAGAAAATGTTCAAAAAGTATTAAATGAGGTAACTGCTTTAATCCTAGATTAATTGATTTATAATTATTTTTTTAGCTCTAATTATGGTTCATGCAGGTTGCAGAACAGACAAGAAAGGGGACTTGGAAGCTTACGGATGAGGCCTGGTTGACACTCGAACCGTACACTTGGTTTAGTTATGGGCAAAGGATGGTTAGTGGCGTTGTTCAAAAAATGAACGAAGTTGCTGATCGATTAGGTTTACCTCAAGAATCACCTCAACGACCTCGCCAACCAAAGCATAACCATTCTTCAAATATTGATGGAGAGTCTAGAAAACGTATCAAGATTGCGTCAGGATTATATTCAGAAATTCAGCAAAACAATGATATTCCGCTTTCTGGACCTTTTAGGGGTACCAAATCTACACGAGGGAAAGTTCCAAAGAAACAGGCCGCTAAAACTTTGTCTAACTTACAGAAACATGAGGATGATATAGAACACGATTCTAAAAATATTCTATCAAGTCGTAGTGCCAAACCTAATCGAAATCGCAGTAAGAAGACAACTACAATTTCAAATTCTTCCATAACAGCTGAACCAGTTACAAATCATGCAAATCAAACGACCGCTAAAGGCAGGAGAGGAAGACCAGCAGGCTCAAAAACTGCTCGTGTTAAGGCATCTTCGAAAAGCACAATTGCGGCATCAAACGTTGCACCATCTAAGCAGGAAACAATTGAGTCCAATGGTCTTCCGTCAATAAATGGCGTTAACAACAATGAAACCAAACAAAGTCAATACCGAGTCAATACTTTATCGGAATTTCGTGAACTCATTGATGAGTTTAAAGCTAAGCAAGATGAATATAATGAGCTAGATGAGAAGCTACAAAGTTGGCTCTCATTATATAACGAATTAGATCTTAACCTTCGCAGTGCTAGACAATCCCGTGAAAAACCTATTATAAATAGAATTATGGAAAAGTTTGGTAGTGGAAGTGAAATTTTCGCTCTAGTCGAGCAGTTTAATGCTATTGAGGAAGAGTTGTGCCAAATTTCAACTGAAGCTTGGCGGGCAGCAAAAGAAGGTATCTTGGATGAATAAACATATATCTCGAGTGGTATATTTAATCAAGTACTGCAGCAAAATGTTGATATTATTATTAGTTAATTCATTTTTGTTGGGTGTTACTGTATAATTAACGAATAAAAACATTTACATGTAATTAACGATAAAAACATTTGACATATTGGATTTAGATTGTTATTTTATAAAAATGTTATATAATTAAAAATTTTATTAAAAAAATAAAAAAATAAATAAGCTGATAATTCTGATCGGAATTGGACTTAATTTTATTTCAATGATAATTAGCTTAGAAAGAATACATTGTTTGTTAGAATTATAAGTAGTCTACCTCTTATAACATTTTAAAATAAAAGGCTATAGCTTTAAAACTTTTATTATAAATTATAAATCAAAATAATGGTGTTTAATATCAATAATATATGTAGATCAAAACAATTTTTATTAAAACAAAAATTAAAATTCTTTAATATTAGGGTTTGTATTGAGGCTTGAAATAGGACAAAGGCATAGTTTATATCAAAATTTTGCAAAGAATTTTTTTATTAGAATACAAAAGGTGGTTTAATAAGCAAAATTTTGAGTTATTAAAGTTTTTTTTTTTAAAAAAAAAAATTTGTTTTGATTTTATATTACACCTGATTATAAATTATTTTGGAGTTTAAAACCTGAAATTAAAATTTGAAAACAAAATTGTTTTTGGCCTATTTTACTTAAAAGACGAAATTTTTTGATATTTTTTTTGAAAAGATGAAATTATAAAGAACATAATTATCTAAATTAGATTTGCTTTTGCATATAAAAAATTCTAATAGAAATGAAATAAAGTTTTTTTGAAAATCTATTTTGGTGATATATATTTATATATCTGATCTTAATATTATAACAATTTTATTAGTTAATTTGATGTGATGTTTAGTGATAAGAATTGGCTATATGATTTAGTTAACTAAATCAACTAAATATAATAATTTATATAAAAATTTTTTAGTTGATTAAATTGATTCCTATCCTTAGTAGTGTTGAACACCACTGGTGTAATTTAGTAATACTGATAAATAATATTAAATAAAGGATTTTACTAATTTGATACCAAGTGTTTGAAACATGAGGTCTGTATAATATGTAAATCAAATTAATTTTTATTAAATAAACAAATAAATAAAGGGAATTGCTATTGACACTACAACAAATGACCTTATCTTCTTATCAGTACTGCAATGATCAATATAAGTATTCCAAATTTAACTAATCAAAATTATTAAATACATATTATATGTACATTACTTTCTAATAACGTGAATAGCAAACTTTGAGCAAGATATCTTGATAGCCACCAAATAAAATTTGATGTGCCTTTTTTTATTTGAATTTTACGATTCTGTAGAATTAAAACAAAATAAAAGATTTATCACATTTGACTTGGTAATTGTTAAGATATCTTCTGTCAAAGTTTGACAAATTTTAAAATATTTATTGAAATAGAAGCTGCATCAAACTTTTATTCAAACTTTGAACAAAAATATTTTGACAACCACCAAGCTAAATCTGGTAAACTTGTTTATTTGAATTTTACAATCTGTAAAATTTAAATACAAAAGTTTATCAAACTTGGTTTGACAGTTGTCAAGATATTTTTGTTCAAATTTTGAAAAAAATTTGGTGTAGTTTTTATTTTGAACTTTTTAAATTTGTCAATCTTTGAGCAAAGATATCTTGACAACCAACAAGTTAAATTTGATAAATTTTTTTATTTTAATTCTATAGGTTCATAGAATTTAAATAAAAAATTCATCAAAATTGATTTAGTGATATTTTCATTCAAATTTTGACAAAATTCAAAATGTCTGTCAACACAGAAGCTGCACCAAACTTTTTTTTAAACTTTGAATCAAGATATTTTGACAACAACCCAGCTAAATTAGATAACTCTTTTTTCATCTTAATTAAACAAACTATAAAATTTAAATAAACAAAGTTTATCAAATTTTACTTAGTGATCGTCAAGATAGCTTCATTCAAAAGTTTAACACAGCTTCTATTGTGATAGATGTTTTGAATTTTGTCAAAATTTGAGCAAAGTTATTTCAACAACCACCAAGTCAAATTCGATAAGCTTTCTTATTTGAATTCTATTAATGTGCAAAGTTCAAATGAAAAAATAGAATATCAAATTTAGCTTGGTGACTATTGAGATATCTTTGTTTAAAGTTTGTTATTTGTATTAATTTCATAATTTTGATTAGTCAAAATTTGAAGTACTCATGTCGATCATTGCAGTGCCGATAAGAAAATAAGATCACATGTTGTAGTATTGGTAGTAATCTTTTAAATAAAATATAATTTAACTAATATTAGGGTTAGTATTGAGAACTAATATTGAGACAGGTTATAGTTTATACTAAAATTTTACAAAAATTTTTTTTTTAAATCTCAAAAATGGTTTTATATACAAAATTTTGAGATATCATTGATTTTTTGTTTTTTGCTTTATTTTTATTATACAAAAAATGATCTACAATATACATTTAATCAAATATTTTGATTAGCTTTTCTATTTATTTGTATAACCAAGTGTTAATACATCTAGTATCTAAATAGAAATTGTTTTAAATAAATATAGATTGGTAAATTTTTCATTAGAGGGTGTGATAACTTAGTGAAGTTAGTAAGTTGTCACATTTCTAAATAGCAGGACAAGAATTCAAATTCTACTAACAACAAAATTTAAATTTTACAAAATATTATTATATTAGTAGATTTTATTAGCATATTTTTTTTTTCTAATTCAGCTATCCTGCCCTTGTTTATTTGGGATCAAGTTATTCAAAATTACAAGTAATTTATCTCTAACTAAAGTAGATCCAACCAAATAAAGAACTCATCTATGTGATTTTATACATTAGGTGTGACCTGTCTCAGTAGCTCTTGGCCTCCCTTAGGGTCCTTAAATCACTAAGGACCTTTTTTCTGTTGTTTATCAGCTGGTAGCTACCTGCTCATCAAGAAGCAAATCACAAACAAACTAAAAAAAAACACAGAGATATAGAGAAATATGATAAAAGAATACAAAATATGAAAAAAAAGAGATAAAGAAATATCAAAAAAAAAAACAGAAATTTGCTAATCTTAATGCCACAGTTATCAGCCTGTAGGTGGCTTTGAAAAATTACATACTGACTAAACAAATTAGTCTCTACTTCTATTTTTCTCTAAACTAGTATGTGAAAGTAAAAACCTGATAGGAAAAACTTCATCAACCGGCTTAAGGTAGAGAGGTTAGAACAGAGTCTCAGAGCATCATTTGTATAGATATCTATTGCATTTGAGGTATGTGTATATACGTGTTTGTTATTACATTCTGATTTGGAAGATAAATAATGCCAACTTGTTTGGTATACGTAATGTTGATCATTTGAAGAGAGTAAACTAAAACGCCCACTTTTTACAAAAATTTTCTCAAAAAAAAGTGGTGGGCCAATGAGAGTATGTGAGGTTCTTCTTGTAAATTTTACAGTTGTATAGTCCAGCTTCTCCATTTCTACTATTTAGGAGTGTACTTTTGGCTACTTCTACAGACTTGTTCCCAGAATAAACCTTCTGTTTTAGATGCCGAATACTTTGGGGAGTTTGCCAGAAAAAAAACTTGATCCCAAAGAAAACCATCCATTCTTTTTGATACCCGCTCCTCAGTATTTTACACCTAGACAGCTTAGACTTCGTCGACAACAAGCTGCTCCTACTTATAGGACCAAGTTTTAGTATTCACTTTTCGCTTTTCTATACATTTTACTGTAGTTTGGTTTTTGTTATTGTTACCCAGAAGATCGTTGAAAAGAGTTTTTTATTAGCATATTTTAGAAGATTTTTATTAGTATATTTTATTAATATAATTTATATTTATTATATGTTTATTTTTTAGCTTTAGTTTAATAGTAAAATTTTCAACAAATAGTATTAATTTTAGTATAATATTAGGTACGTTAACTGGTACGTTAACAGGTATATTAACTGATATGTTAACTGGTACGTTAACAGATAGTTAACTAGTACATTAACAGGTACGTTAACTGGTATGTTAACAGGTATATTGGATTGTTAAAAGGGTCGTTAACTAGATTGTTAAAAAGGTTATTAACTAGATTGTTAACTGGATTATTAAAAGAGTTATTAACTGAGTTGTTAAAAGGGTCATTAATTAGGTCATTAACTGGGTTGTTAACTGGGTCGTTAATTGGGTCATTAACTGAGTCGTTAACTGGATCGTTAACTAGGTCATTAACTGGGTCATTTACTAATAGTTCAAAAGATATAAAAACTCTGCCTTTTCCCTTAAGGCAGAGTACTTACTTTTAGTTTTTTATTATTTATAGATTATTTTTAATGAATAGACTGTCTCCTTTTCACTTTTATTTTGTTGTTAATTACAACTTATTTTCTTAGAAGTGTAGCTATTGCCTACCTTCTTTTATTGTGTTTAATAAAGCTTTTATTGTGTTTTTATTATGTATTTAAAGTTGAGCCATTGCCTCTTCTTTCTTCTTTGAGTATTTATTTTTAGTATATTGAGTTGAGCTATCACCTCTTCTCCCTTTTTTTGAATATTCTATTGTGTTTTAAGATTAGAGCCATCACCTCTTTTCTTTATTTTTAGTTTATTGTCTTACTTTAAAGTCTCTTTTAGCTTTCTTTCTTAGCTTATTCTTTTCTTATTTGCAAATACATTTCTTAACCTCTTATATGTTAAATCAAGTAGTATAGCTTTACTAAAACCCTGTATTGCTATATTACAATATATTATAGTAAACTGTATATAATCTAACAAATTGATATCTGTAACTTTAGTTATATTAGCTTGTACTGAGAAACTGTGAAACATTAGTGTAATATATAAGTTATATAAAATCTGAGTAAAACAACCAGATAAATTTAAAGGTTTGAAATATATAGAAGCCTGCTTGGCAAGACTTGAGTAAAGAAATAGTACAGACTTTTAATATTGCTATGTAAAGAATCAT